TGGAGGCATTAGTCACGACTCTTTAGTCCCGGTTGAAGAACCGGGACTAAAGGCCCTTACGAACCGGGACTGATGCCCCCTTTTCTACTAGTGCCTGTGCATATTGCTGCTGATGGAGGAAGAACCCATCGGCGCGTTGTACCACCTCAATGCCGAGGAAGTAGTGCAACGGGCCGAGGTCCTTAATGGCGAACTCAGCGCTGAGGCAAGCAGTATGATGGCGAAGTAGCTCGGGCGAGGAAGCCATCAGGATGATGTCGTCGACGTAGAGGAGCAGGTAAGCGGTCGCCGGAGCCTGGTGAAAGACAAACAGCGAGGCGTCGGAGCGAGTAGCTCGGAACCCAAGCTGCTGCAGGAAGCCGGCGATCCGTTGGTACCAGGCGCGAGGGGCCTGCTTCAACCCGTACAAAGAGCGGGAAAGCAAGCACACATGATTAGGCTGGGCCGCGTCGAAGAAGCCGGTTGGCTGCTGACAGAACACCTGCTCCGAGAGATGGCCATGCAAGAATGCATTCGACACATCCATCTGATGCAACGGCCAGGCGCGAGAGACCGCGAGCTGAAGAACCGCGCGAATCGTGCCCGGTTTGACAACCGGGGCGAACGTGTCGGTGAAGTCGACACCGGCGCGTTGCCGAAATCCACGGACCACCCACCGAGCCTTATAGCGCTCGAGAGACCCGGCAGGACGAGTCTTATGCCGGAAATACCCACTTGCCAAAGATGACGTTGGCATGGGGTGGCCGCGGGACCAGCTGCCAAGTGCGGTTGCGCACTAGCGCGTCGAACTCTTCCTGCATCGTCGTGAGCCAATGCGGGTCACGAAGGGCGGCTCGAGCGGACGACGGGAGAGGTGACGGCGCAGACGTCGAGGCAGCGAGAAGGTACTCGTCCGCAGGATACCGGTTACTGGGCCGATGAATGCCGGTGCGAGCACGCGTGGCCATGCGGGTCTCCGGGGCAGCCGGCGGGGCCGGTGGGGACGACGGGGTCGGGGGGGCTGGTGACGAAGCCGGCGAAGAGGCCGTCGAGGAGCCAGGGCCGGGCGCTCGAGAAGCGCTCGCTGCCCGGGCTACGGACTCAACGGGAGTCGGTGGCACCATGGCCGCCGGCGAGGAAGCAACCGGGCCGGTGGAAGCCGTCGAGGAGCCCGGGTCAGGCGCAGGAGATGCGCTCGCTGACCGGGCTGCGGACTCAACGGGAGTCGGGGGCGCCGTGGCCGCCGGTGAGAGGTCCAGGTCCGTCGCCGCGGACCCAGAGCACGGCCCAGGCGCAGCCGGGGCGCCAAAGCCAGGAGGGGGCCCGAAGCCAGGAGGGCCAAGCGCGAGGGAGCGGCCTCCTCGAGAGGCACCAGGAGGCGCGAGTGATGAGGACGAGTCAGCCGGCGGCGGTACCTGGTGAAAAGGAAAAGACCTCTCGTCAAAGTAAACGTGCCGTGAAGTGAAGACTCGGTGGGAAACCGGATCATAGCAACGATAGCCTTTGGTGTTTGGTGGGTATCCGAGAAAAATGCATGCCATAGAGCAAGGTGCAAGTTTGTGAGGAGTGGTGGAGGCGATGCTAGGATAACAAAGACACCCAAAAACATGAAGATCATCATATGAGGGTGGGCTACCGAAGAGGAGATGATGTGGTGCATAGTTTCCACAAGCACGAGTCGGACGAACGTTGATGAGAAGAGGGGCGGTGGAGAGGGCATCCGGCCAAAACCGGGGCGGGACATTGGCATGGAAAAGAAGGGTGCGCACACAATCATTGAGTGTGCGAAGGATCCGTTCGGCGCGACCATTTTGTTGCGAGGTATACGGGCAAGTGAGACGAAGAATCGTGCCGTGTGAGGCGAGGAGGGTGCGAACCCCGGCGTTGTCGAACTCCTTCCCGTTGTCAGTCTGCAAGGCATGGATGGGACGCCCAAACTGCGTAGCGACATAGGAGTAAAAAGTGGTAAGAACGGAGAGTGCATCAGATTTTCTCTGCAACGGGAAGGTCCACACATAGTGCGAAAAATCATCAAATATGACAAGATAGTATAAAAAACCCGTATTACTGGCAACAGGAGATGTCCATAAATCACTATGAATCAACTCAAATGGATACGACGCCACCGATGATGAAGTGCTAAACGGAATACGGACGTGCTTGCCAAGATGACGAGCATGACAAGTATGATCATCGGTTTTATTACACGTGAATGAAAAAGTCCTACGAATGTGACGAAGGGTGGCTGGGTTCGGATGTCCCAGCCGAGCATGCCAATGGTCCACCGTGGCGGAGAGAGCGACCGGAGCGGATGTGGAAGTGGCGGTGGAGTTCACAGGGTAGAGGCCGTCCGGGCTGTCACATCGGTGGAGCACCATCCGGGTACAGGCGTCCTTAATAGAAAAACCCACTTCGTCAAATTCAACAGTTATAGGATTTTCACGTGTAAGAGAACGAACGGAACAAAGATTAGTTACTAACTCAGGTGTAACTAAGACATTAGACATATGAATAGGTGTAGAGTTAGACGGAAAAGAGGCATGACCGACATGAGTAATGGGAAGGGAAGACCCGTCCCAACAGTAATACGGCATGCGGTGGAAACTGGAAATGCAGAGTTGAGATTACCGGGGTTGGAAGTCATGTGGGTGGTAGCCCCAGAGTCCATATACCAGTCGCCGCCTCCGGTGTACGTGTTGGGTGTAGGGGCGGAGTGGAGCGCCGCAAGGAGGGCTGGGTCCCATGGGACCGACGGGAGGGCGGCGGTCGCGGCTGGAGGAGTGGCGTAGCCACCCGGGGCAGCGTAGCCACCCGGAGCGGCGTAGCCGCCAGGCGCTGCGTACGGGGGAGCCGCGGCGACGTAGCCGCCCGGGGCAGCGAGAAGCGCCTGATGCGCACCAGGACGGGGGCCGAGGATCCCGGTCGAGACGGGGGCCCGCGGCACGGGCATCGTGTACGTGTGGACCACCCTCGTCCAAGGGTTGGTCGCGGTGGCCCAGGGGGCCGGGGGCAGCTGCTGCTGCTGCGGCTGGCGGGACGCCCCGCCCGCGCCATGCGGCTGCTGCTGCTTCTTGCCACGGCGCCCCCCACGGCGACGATCAGGGGGAGGGGGCGGCGGCTGGTAGACGGGTGCCGGAGCGCCTGGAAGTAGGACGCCGGTGGTGGCGGCTGAGGCCGCGGCGGCGGCGGCGCTGTGGGGGGAGCGGCGCGGGAGGTGCCCGCCGCGAGAGCCGTGTGCGTGGCCCGGGACTTCACCATCTTCATCCTCCTCTCCTCCAACCTAAGATAAGCCACGACCCTAGGAAAGGTCGGGTCCGGGAGGAACGTGAGGTTGGAGGCCGCGTTGCCGAACTCCTCGTTCAGGCCGGCGGTGAGCGTGCTGAGAAGGAGGTCGTCGGAGACCCGCTCCCCGAGGTCGCGGAGTTCGTCAGCGAGTTTCTTGAGGCTCATATAATCGTCAATGGACGAGTCAAGCTGATGGCACCCAAAAAATTCCCGCTGAAGAAAGACGCGACACTGCAGGGCGTTGTCGAGGAAGAGCCCGTTCAGCTTCGCCCACACCATCTGCGCGTCGTCAGTGTCGCAAACAATGGCGTGGAAGATGTATTTGGAGATGGTTTGGTACAACCAGCGAGTGATGGTGGCCTCAATGGTCAGCCAATTGTCGTTCGCGTACATGAGACCGGAGTCAACAGAGCCATCAACGTGATCGATGAGGTGGTACTCGCGAAAGACGAGGGAGAAGTAGGTTTTCCATGCGTAATATGTGGAGGTGGCGTAGTCGAGCACGACGGGAACGCGGGCGAAGATATCCAGATCGCGGACGACCTCGACGGGAGGAGGGGCCGGACCCTCGAAGGGGTTGAGGAAGGCGGCGGAGTGGGGAGAGGCCATGGGTGCGCGGCAACCGAGGGAGGGGTGACGGCGCGGGTGTGGCGGCTCGGCGGGGAGGCGGCGCAGGGAGAGGGAGGCGGCTAGGGAGGGAGGGGTAGTGGATCGGGTGGGAGGGAGTGGAGGAAGGCGCGCGCGGCGGCGGGAGAAGATGCGGCGGCGGCGCGGGTGGATAGCGGCGGCGGCGGCGGCTAGGAGCGGAAGCTAGGGTTGGATCGAAAAAAAACTGATACCATGTGGAAGGCAATGCAACTCTCGATGTATTGATCGGGTGCACGGTGCACGTATATATGGGTACAAGGACAGCCCTCAGCCTCATCTATACAAGGAAACTAGAGGCAGGGTCGGTAGGAGATTATCCTAACAGATACTCCCTCCGTTCCGAATTACTTGTCTTAGATTTGTCTAGATACGGATGTATCTAGCACTAAAATGAGTCTAGATATATCTGTATCTAGACAAATCCAAGACAAGTAATTCGGAACAGAGGGAGTACATGCATAGATATTCTACACTTACCAACCAATTACCGCAGCGCAACGTGCAGGGTATTCTATAGTATGCAAAATGACTGCACACCGATCAAAACGAGGGTGAATTGCCTTGGACAAACTATAGCATGGAGATGATGAAAAGCACGCGTATATTTTCTGTTCTATAAGCTAAGCCAATTAATTTTGCAGATTTTTGCGTGGCAAACGCCAATATCCACTTGCATGCGTGAACCTTCCAAATATGCGGCCAAGTTTGTCGATACCATGTACTCCCTCCGTTCCAAAATAGATGACCCAACTTTATACTCACTTTAGTACAAAGTTGGGTCATCTATTTTGGAACGGAGGGAGTACGTAGCAGACCGCGATAGGCCTTACGTGATCGACCGGCTAGCTGTATTTGGTTGGAAAGGTTCATGGATGGATAGATGCTGTGTACGTCGTTCGAGAGGCTAACGCTGGACCAAGCGGACCTAGATTTTGGATGCTCTCTCCCTAGTGGGGGACAGGGGCCGATTTGCAGGTGCACCTGAGCTGAATTCTTGGCTATAAATATGCATGCGATGCACTCCTCTCTTGCACAAGCCACACTAAGCCACCGCCAGATAACGGGTGCAGGCAGCTAGCTAGCTAACCATGGCCGCCTCTCCCTCTTGCATTTCTCTTGTGGTGCTCGTGGCTCTGGCCACGGTGGCGTCTGCGCAGCTGTCCCCGACGTTCTACAGCGCGTCGTGCCCCGGGGCGCTGGCCGCCATCAAGAGCGGCGTGACGGCCGCCGTGAGCAGCGACCCCCGCATGGGCGCGTCGCTGCTCAGGCTGCACTTCCACGACTGCTTTGTCCAGGCAAGTTCCGCATAGCCGGCACTTCGATCACTAATTTGCTTGATCGAAGAACAGCCGGGATTGACCAATTATTTGCCATGCGTGTTTTGCTGGCTGCAGGGCTGCGACGCCTCTGTTCTTCTGTCAGGCAACGAGCAGAACGCGGGCCCGAACGCGGGGTCGCTGAGGGGCTTCGGCGTCATCGACAGCATCAAGGCGCAGGTCGAGGCCGTGTGCAAGCAGACTGTCTCCTGCGCCGACATCCTCGCCGTCGCCGCCCGCGACTCCGTCGTCGCCGTAAGATATCATCTTACGACCACTTACATGGTCCATTGGATGCTCGGCACCTTTTTCTTTACACCATCGTAATCGTTTGTTTGCTTTCTGTCACGTGCAGCTCGGAGGGCCGTCATGGACGGTTTTACTAGGAAGAAGGGATTCCACGGGCGCAAACGCGGGTTTGGCAAACAGCGACCTCCCAGGCCCGGGCTCCAGCCGGGCACAGCTCGAGGCCGCGTTCCTCAAGAAGGGCCTCGACACGGTCGACATGGTGGCCCTCTCCGGCGCGCACACCATCGGGCAGGCGCAGTGTGGGACCTTCCGCTCCCGGATCTACGGCGGCGACACCAACATCAACGCGGCCTACGCCGCATCTCTCCGGGCCAACTGCCCCCGGTCCGGCGGCAACGGCAACCTGGCGCCGCTGGACACGATGACGCCCAACACCTTCGACAACGCATACTACACGGACCTCCTATCCCAGAAGGGGCTCATGCACTCGGACCAGGTGCTCTTCAACAACGACACCACCGATAACACCGTCCGCAACTTCGCGTCGAGCGCGGCGGCCTTCAGCAGTGCCTTCGCGACGGCCATGATCAAGATGGGCAACATCGCGCCGCTCACCGGGGCGCAGGGCCAGATCAGGCTCAGCTGTTCCAAGGTGAACTCGTGATTGACGTACACGTCGAGCGGCAGCTCGCCGGCACGACACGTCAATGAATAAGTCCCCGGAAGCAGTAGCCAAGACCAATTATAGCACTTAGCAACCCTACCCGGTCATGGGCTACTCGGTGCATGCTGTGGTGCTTGAAGACCTCAAGTTTGAAATGCGCACCGGGTTTTCCAAGCCTGAGGTTCAGGCATGCTGGAGAGATGCAAACAGCGCCGCCCATGCACTAGCTAAACTAGGCCTGTAATGTATTGGTGCCCATGCATGCTTTAATGTGGGAGTATGATTACTGTCCAGCGGTTGTTGCTGATCATGTAATGGGTCTTAATATAGCTTTGGTAGATCAATTATGTACCAGCACTTGAAACGTGTATTTTTAGAAACCGCTTATAGATCAGTCAACTGATTTTTTTTTTCAAGTTTCAGTCACTTTGCTCTCAACCTTCGACGGCGTGTTTGGCAGCTTGGGAGATTGGGCATGGGAGTTTATCAGTGGCAGTTTGTGAAGGGATAAGACTTGGAAAATAGATTATTAGTCCTAATCCTATGTTTGGTGTGTGAAGGAAATTGCCGGTGGGAATTCGAACAGGAAGTTATTTTTCTATTTGGTTCATGGGTTAATTAGTGTTGCCGTCGCTAGACGTGAGCGAACAGTTCCCTCGCTCGCCTTTTTAACGCCAACGAAAATATTGGATAGAACCATGGTGCAGCCGCACCTACGCTCAAAACCACACATCTGTTGGGCCCCATCCCTGGAATTTGTGCCTCACGACCATGGTAAAATATGGCGGGAAAGGTCAAAAGATAGTTAGCAGGCCTATAGGTTTTATGATAATAAAATCTACTGCATGCTAGAATAAAATAACCGCTAAAATAATCAAGTTTGGTCCATAGACATGTACTGTTCATCTTTCTTTATTGCTTCGTGATGCACAACGGTTGTGGGCCCATGCTTGCATGGATGCCTGAACAATCGCTGCAAATATTATATCAAGCTGAATCGGTTTTTGAATGTTTCAATTAGACAAATTTCTATGCACCACAACAAAGAAAAAAAAAGCAGCCATAGTATTCCAGAGAGAATCAAAACTTGAGCCTGGCAATGTAGCTGCTCCTGTTGCTATTCTTCTATTTTCCCTTTTTTTGTTTATTTTTCCATTTTTCTTCTTTTTGTTTGTTTTTTCTTTTCTGTTGTGTTTTTATTTTGTCCTGCATACATATCACCGTGATCTACATTATTATTGGGAAGCGTGAACACGACTTCTTTTTTTATTTTTTTCTTGGGCCTGTGAGCTACAGTGTTATTGGGAGGGGTGCCACATTGGAAGTCGAGCCTGAGAAGGCCTACAAACAATATGAGAAAAAAACTCACTCTCTGAATGCTAACGTAAATGGTGGGTTAACTTAAAGAGTACCGAATCAGAAAAAAATGAATGCTAATAGGGCTCAGATCCCAATGGGAGGTGTACTACATCCAAGGGTGTTGACCGTAGGTGCGGCCGAGCCATGGTCCTAAAACTCAGCTCTCTAACGCCAATTCCCTTTCCCTCGCTTAATTGCCTGGGTGCCCCTTGGGAAGAGTTTGATGGGAGTTGGGCTACTAATTCCCCTTCCCGTTCCTCTTTTAACTCCCATGTCCGTGAGTCAATCAATGGAATCCAAGTCTCATTGATCTTAAACTCCCATTCCTCACCTCCAAATTCCCCCCAAACAAACACGCTGCGAATGTGATCCAAGGGTTACAGAGCTTTCTTCTTTCTGCACGCTGTGCCTCCGCCACCAGTACTGGTGGAGGGGCGCCCCTATATCTTGCCTTCAGCGAGACCACCTTCCAATTCGCTAAGGGGGCAAGCGAGATGGACCGGCCCACGCGAGGTTGGAGCCTGTTTTTGTTTTTCTTTTTCCATTTTTTGCTTTTATTTTTGTATGTTTCTTTATAGTTTCATACAAAAAAATCTACAAAAAACATTTGGGAAGTGGTGAACAAATATAGGAAAAATGTTCAATAAATATTTCAAAAAATTTGAAAAAGTATTTGAAAAATGTTAATCAAGCATTTAGAAAATGTTGAACGTGCACAAAAAAAATTGTTGAACGTGTTCAAAAAATGTTAATATTTTTATTTGAAATATGTTAATCAAGCAATTGAATTTTTTTTAAAAGTATGTACATGAAACATGTTGAACAATTATTCAAAAAATGTTAATCTTGAATTTGAAAATACTAATCAAGCATTTTAAAATATAAGAAATGTGTACTAGAAAAATATTGACCACATAAAAAAAGTTAAATTTGTATTGAAAAATATTAAACATGTATTAGAAAGATGGTGTTGACAACTTGACATATACAAAAAATGTAGAATGAAAAAAATGAAAACCAAAAAAGAAACAAAATAAACCAAAGAAAAAGAACAAAAACCCGAAGAAAAACAAATAAGATGGCAAGAATAAAAAAAACCCAGTGAAAACAAAAAACTGAAATAAAAACTAAAGAAAAACAACGAAACAAGAAAGAAAGGAGAAAAACCAGTAAAACCAAAGAAAAAACGCAGGAAAAGGTGAAAAAACAGAAGAAAAGGAAAACCGGTGAAAAAAATAAAACTGGCTCAATTCACCTCAAGTACGTGGCGCCCGTACTATTTATCAAGAAGTGGACGTGTACAAAGTGGTTGGCAGCGCTGGTTATTTCTCAGGAGACCGGAGTTTGATCCCGCTATCACTCGCTTTTTCCTGCTCTATTAATTCTAATTAACTCTGCATGAAATGGGCTGGCCTGAAGCCTGTGGATGCTTCAGTGAGACGGTACGGTATCTCGCTGTGTCTCGTTGAATGCGAAATATAGACGCCGCGGTGGTGAAGCCAAGAAAATCCCAAGAAAATCATTTGAGGCGGGCGGCTGTTCTCAAGTCTTATTGGATAGGGCCGGCCCATCAAAATACACCATTTTACACAACAAATTAATTAATTCTAATTTTATTTTTTGCTAAAAGAAAATTGTAATTTTACTTTCGAACATAGAGCTGCAAAAAACTTCATCGATTTTCAAAAAAGTTCACAAATTTGAAAAAAGTTCATCGCATTTAAATGAAAGTTCATCGCATTTGAACGAAAGTTCATCGATTCTCTAAAAAAGTTCATCGACTTTGAAAAAAGTTCATCAACTGTAAAATAAGTTCATCACATTTGCAAAAAAGGTCATCATTTTTTTTGTCAAAAAAGTTCATAAATCGACAAAAAGTTCATCTGATTTTGGAAGAAAAGTTCACAATTTTTTTAAAAAGTTCACCGATTCTGAAAACAATTCATGATTTTGGAAAAAAGTTCATGGATTTTGGAATAAGTTCAACGTTCTTTAAGAAAAAAAGGGTCATTGATTCTTCAAAAAACATAAATTACAAGGGCATAAAAGGCTCTCACGACCTAGAAAATGAATAGAAAAAGCGAAAGAAACATTTAGGCACAAGTGGCACGTAGTCAAACTGGTAGTTCAATGCTAACTCGACAAACAGATCCCCGGTTCAAACCCCTGCGAGCACACCCTTCTTTTCGCTCGCTCCAGATTTGAATGAAAAAAAAAGTTTCGCTCGCTCCAGATTTGAATGAAAAAAAAAGAAAGACGGGCCGTCCTAGCACCGTGGCGGGGGGTTTTCTTGTTTTTTTGGATTTTGCTTGGTTTTTTCATAGATTTTTTTTCCTTGTGTGAAACACTTTGTGCTTCTTGAAAAGTGAAAATTATAATTATGCTTCAACATGAAGCACAACTGCGCTTCCCGAAAAGAAAAAAGACATTAAAATATGCTTCCGATTTTTTTTGTTTCTATTTTTTCTCTAGTTTCGAGTTTTGTCCGATTTTCATTTTTTTTGGCTGGCGGTTATCTTACGAGAAAAACAGTTCGTTCAAACTTATAAACATGTGATCTAGTTTTAAAATTATCGAAGCGATAAACGCACGGCGAATATGATTTGTGATTCAAACACACGGTTCAAGAGAATATGTTTTTTAAAATAAATCTACGATAAAAGCACAAAACATCCTGGTTGTGACAAGTGTCGCAAATTCAATGTACCATTTATCACCGTCAAAGGAGGTAGAAGTGACATTTGCAAAGAGGACCCTTTAATTATCGACGCGATAAACGCAACGGCGAATATGATTTGTGATTCAAACACACGGTTCAAGAGAATATGTTTTTTAAAATAAAACTACGAATAAAAGCACAAAACATCCTGGTTGTGACAAGTGTCGCAAATTCAGTGTACCATTTATCACCGTCAAAGGAGGTAGAAGTGACATTTGCAAAGAGGACCCTTTAATTACTGATTTCGTAGGAGGTCTCCTTGTCCGCGTGACAAGTGTGAAGCACTACACACTCCCTCCGAAAAGACCAAATGCCTTTTTTGTGAGAATCACCAGATCTATTATAAAACATCCGAAACATAATAAAAACTAGATCGGGAACGCGCCTTGGCGCTAGGTGCCGGTCCTAACGTTGTGGTCAAGCGGGTAATGCTCAAGTTAGTAGGAATCCAGATTTAGCATACACATTCAAACAGGAAAACAAAATATAGAAAGGAAGATACATTCACATGTGAAGACATTGTGGAGTTGGGGCAGCATCGAGTAGTCGCTTGATTTCGCACCCCTGTGGCGGAATCCCCTCCCGCGTGACCAGCCAGGCGCCAGCTTCGCGAGTAGGGGCTCCTCTGTCTCCGCCTGGTGCTGAGCGCCGTAGGGGTGGTGATGGAGGCAGCAAGGAGGAAGAGGAGGTCCACAGCGTCAAGGAGCGGGCGCTGCACTCACGGGGAGAGGAGGAAGGCGAGGCAAGAGAGTGGGGACCAAAGGAGAACGTGCACAAGAGAGCCCTCTCCAACCAGGGGTACTTTTGGAAAGTGCATTGTACTGGATTCTCTAAAACAACATATAATACGAAACAGAGGGAGTAAAACTTTACGTTACTTGGTACGGCGGTGTTTTTCATAAAATTTGATCATACAAAAATA